AAGAACACAGCGGTAAGATAAGCTCAGTACAAATATGCAATTTAATGCCTTTTTTTTTTTTTTTTAATAGGCTGTCTAGTGTGGGGTCTGATACTGCTCATGTAATAAATGAGCATGAGGGGATAAAAGGAAAAAAAATAAACAAGTCTCATGAATACAAATAATATACTTTCTAGTCCTCTCTTATTAGATGAGAAAATGTGTTGATTTTGCTGGTAAGATCTAAGAATTAGGGATTTACTTCAAAATATTGGAACCTTGCCACATTTGCTAGAATAGGGGTCTGCCGTAATTCAGAGTTGAAACATTTCTTAAAGTTTTATTATTTAGCTATGCATATTTGTATCAGGAGAAAGGTTGGCATGTTAAACGACAGCCCAAATTAATCTATTTTCTGAAAATATGACTAGGAAATTGGAAGTGCTTTACATTTTGTAGTAATCAAGAACTATTTTAGCTCTTTCCATAAACTTGTCTGAGCTGCTTTTGTTAAGAAGTGTCTGAAATGCAAATGAAGAAATGTTACAGATACTTGAGGTTCTGCTTACCTGCAGAAGAAACTGCAAGCTTTTCAAGCAACAGTGTCAGACCTGTGTGCCTAGCTATCATGTGGACATTTAAAGAGTCCTTAGGGAAGAAGAGATTATTTAGTAAAGTGGCCAGTGAGTATTGCAGTTGGACTAGATGACTGTTGTAGATCCCTTCCAACTGAAATATTTTATTCTATTACTGACTAGAGAAGAACTTAGGCAGCTCTGGTCCTCTCTTTCATCCCCCTGCCTCCCTTCCCAGTATTCCCATAAACTAAGGAGTCAGCTTCTTTTTGTTCTGTAGCCTCCTCTGGATCCAGTGGTTTGGAAAATACATTGGGTTGAATGATATACAGTCTTCATTTGAAGGGTGTTAGTCCCTCTCTCATAATTTATCCCAAAATGGCCTATGGATCCTCATGTGAGGGATTCCTGACAGTGCAGATTAACTGGAACCAGACATCCAGGGTGGGATAGAAGGGGAGCTGTCAGAGGCAAGAGCTGGATGAAGTAGTATGGGAGATCATGGAAAGGACTTCTCAAATCCTATCCTCAAAAGTTTTTTGGTTTCAGGTTTGGGTTTTTTTTGATAGGTGGGGGGTTTTGTGGATTTTGTTGTGTTTTTTTTTTTTTTTTTAATTGAGAAAGAAATCTATCTCAATATGCAATGGCAAATGGCAACTGTTTGACAACAGACTGTTTTCTTCTGTCAGGAGAGGACTCACCAGTACAATATGCATGATTATATCATCCCATGGGGATACAGCTAACTGAACATAGCAACACTATTCACAAAAAGTTCTACAAATAAACTGTATCAATTTACTATTTTTACAATTTCTATTTACTTGTTTGCTAGTGAACAAAAGAGTTTACATGTAAGAAACATTTAAGATAGCAAGAATATGATGAAAATGCAGGTAGCCATTTTGGCAAAGGAATACACAGTAGAAGCGATAGATTTTTTCCTCAACAGCTCTTTTAATTACTTGCATGAATATACTCATCTACCAATTGAATAAATAGTCTGTGAACAGTAGAAGAGGGCTTATCTCATTTACAGCACAAGAAGAAAAATACCATTTCAATGATCCTGCTGTGAAGACAGATTTATGAACAACTTCAGGTTTGAAAAAAAACTCTGAAATTTACTGGATATCTGCAATTCATGAGTTTACAAAATCTACAGGCCTTCCTATAGCTTTTTGCTCAGCAAGAGTATACATCTATCAGATTTATTACATGCAATGTAGAATTAACATAGGCCTCTTACAGTGGGACAGAGATTCCGAAGATCCCAGAGAAGAAACACGAAAAAAGTAAAACCTACATTTTAATTGCAGCGTTTGAATGCTGTATTATCATTGGTCTCATAAAACAAACACATTCACAGAAAAGTTTTGTAGGTCACATTCACAAAGACCTACTTTGAAAGATATCTAGCAATTTAGGTAGTTCCTTCACAAAATTCCACTATCAATTTCTGCCAGAATGACTGCTCACTAGCTAACTTGATTTGTTTGGTACTGCACTCTTCCTCTCTTCAACACATCACTTTTGGCCACAGAAGCACACCTGAGTCTCCCAAACCAAGGGAAGTGAGAGGGCAATGCTCCTGGCAGAGTTTTAACCTGGCTGAAACGTTTATCCTATCACATTGATAATTTTTTTAAATATGTTGTTCATTTTTTATGGGCTGTTACTTGACTGTTATGAGTGGGGGTTTGTTGCAATGGGACTGAAAACATGAGTGTAACAGACTAAGTTCTGCCTTACCACAAGTCCCATACATGGGTGGGCTCCTATTCTGGAGTTCTTGGGAAGAGGATAGTCACAGACCCAGAGATGTGAATTTGCCTGCAATTTCAGCAAATTGGATAGTGTAATAAGTTTATTGTTGCTATGAGAGAATAAATCAAGATAAGTTTGGGGGAGAAGTGAACAGGCCAAACAAATATAGCTAGATTGCTGAGAGCTAAAAGTAGCAGACACAAGGGAAAAAAAAAAAAGAAAAAAAAAAAGAAAAAAAAAGAAAAAAAAAAGATACTTGATAAAAGCAACAATATCTGTTCTCCCCTTCACTTAAATAAGACAATTTTACAGATTGCCAGTAAAACTTAAAAACTAGAGTCAGCAGAGCCAGTATGAAATATTATAATAGTGATTTAGGTTAATGTCCAAGTCTGCGCTTTTCTTATTCCTTCTATGTTTTTCCTCCGTTTTCATAAAGGCTAAGGGTCTACAAAGCTCAGGAAACAAAATAACTGGCAATTTTAGATATTCAGTATTCATCAAATATTGTACTTGAAATAAATCCCCATTAGTATTCTACAGTGAACTACTAGGAACAGGTAAGGAAGGAAATTAGAAGATCAGAGACCAGTTTTGGAGATAGCAGTAATAAAATGTGAAAACCTCAAATGACCTCTAGGGTATATCAGATTCTGGTTTGGTTTTTTTGTTGTTGGGGGTTTTTTTTCCCCCCAAGTTGCAGAGAGAGACTTTCATTAAAATATATCTTTAAGAAGTGGCTTAAAGTCAATTTTATGCCTACATTCAAATTTATTCTTGACACAAATGCAAATGTTATAATGAAATCTCTCTTTCAGGTGGGGAAGTGCAGCAGATCACCAATTTTTAAACCATTAAATCACCACACAATTTCACCTCATACAAGCCAATTCAGGCATGTGAACTAAGTAAATATGTTTGTTTTATCTGTTGTCTAACAGCCATAGGTCCCACACTAGACAAGGGTAAAAGAAACTACCATTCTTAGTTAAATCTATTTTGAGAGCTGCAAGGGAGAAGGAGGTAAGCTCCAGACTATTCTTGAATGACATCATCCTGAAAATCACTGAAAGCAACAAAAGGGTACACTAACTATGAAGCAAAACATAGGAGAATGCAGGTATTGCATAAACACACTCACCTGAATAAGGAAAAGCCTGCCTCACAATCTAAAGTAAATCCTTAGATGTAGCATAAATCAGGAGTATTTCTAACATACAGCTATAGGTTAGGTTGAGCATTGTTGTGACTGGTGAATTTTAACCTAAAATGAAGAACAGCTGTTAAAGTCAGACCCATTTAGGATCTTTGATGGAACCAGACAGCTTAGAACAAGAGGTACATGTGGTAGGGGAAGGAAGTGTGTTACTCTTTTGCTTGCAGGAAAGGAAGAGGGTGGGAGAGAGCTTCCACCAGTCAAGGGGAACTAGCAGGATGTTAGCCACGCTCACAACCTAGTACTGCCAAAACGTTAAAGGAAAGACAAGTCTTGGGCCAATTTCTGTATGGAAAGAAGGTGAAAGCTGTAGGCCAAGAAACTCTTTCCTGTTTTGTTCAAGGAAGGTGGACCTTGAGTTTCCTTTTTTAAAATACTCTTGGAGTGCATCAGATACTCAGTGCTTCTCCTGTGTATTTTCCTCCTAAGCAAAATATTACAGACCACAGTAATTCTGGTTAAAAATTGACGCAAAAAACCCCCAAGCCCAACTCCCAACAATGCAGATTTAAACTCAATCAAATGTAAGCATGTTAAAGGACAGTTAAACACACAACAAACTCTCTTGCCCCTCTTGAAGGGAGAAGCTAATGAACTGAGATTTTAACTAGTAATTGGGTCTCAGTTCTTGTTAACATTTCTTTCTCTTTACTGTTTTAAATGCATGTTCTTTCTACTCAAACTCATTTTGAATGAGAGATGCAAACGTTTGAGCATTTGCTACAGGGCAGAAAAACCTCGAAATCAAACCTCTTGGGAGCTGATTTCAGGAAACGCGTAGCAGATTTCAGCAACTGGTGCAAAACGATAGAATAGCAATTTTCCTTCCCAAGCATACTGTAAGAAAGATGGAATAAGCCTTTGTGAGAACACAGTCACCTGATCAGAAAGATTTTATATCAATGCTTAATAATTTACCTACCAGAAGAATTACAGTGCAATTAGGAGCACTGCACTGGGATGTATTTCCGGACTATCCAAGTACTCTCACAGCTAATGCCCTTCTGTCTCCTGGCTGCATTAAAATGCTGTACCTCACTCTACAATACTGACAGCTGTATCAAATCTAAAAGAAACCAGCAGTCACCTATCACAACACCTTTCAGTACAGCACACACTGATTACCAGGCACTCATTCATTAGCCTCACTTTGTTTGAAATTCTCCCTAATTGTGTGCTTGCTGCTTTTCCATTCATGATAGACAGCAATTCTGCTGGCAAGCTGAAGAATAAAATCTCTGCACACCACCCTTAATTCACTCTTTAATTAACATATTCCTGCT